CAGCCGGGGGCCGGGCAGTGGGGTCCCCAGCCCACGTCCTACGGGAGCGGGCGCTGCCAGCGTCAGGGCCGCCGACCCCCCACGCCCCCGGGGGGCTTGGCGACTCCTGGGGCATGGGCCTTCTCCGTGGGGAGTGGTCCTGTGGGCAGGGGAGGGCATGAGGGGTGGGCACCGCCGGACCCTCAAGCCAGCATGGTGTGAGCCGAGGGTGTAACCCCCCTGTTCTCTGGGGGCTATGCCCTCCCGCTGCCTGCACAGCTGGGGGGTTCCCAAGAGCCCTGATTCAGTGGCGGTTTCTCCCTTTCAGCCAAGCCGGTGCGGCCGGGGCACTACCCGGTCTCGCCCACCAACCCCTACGGCGCCCGCAACTCCGACAGCGTCAGCTACACCAACAGCCTCTTCCAGAACTACCAGGCAGCCTACGGGCAGGGCTCCGCCCCAGACGCCTAGTGAGTGCCAGGGATGGGGGGGGGGGACCCCCGGCAGAGGGGCTGCCATGCATGTGGGGCCCGGGGCTGCCGGTCCCTGGGCCGTGGCCCCCTGCAAGCGGCCGTCCGTGCTGCAGTTCTGACGGCTCTGTCTGTCTGGGTCTCCCCTTGCTCAGTTTTGCCAACACCTCGTCCAGCAGCAGCACGGGCTCCTCCAGCGGCCCCCTGGCCCCCTACCAGAAGCTGAGCGTGGATAACGGTGAGAGGGGCCCAGCCTGCGTGGGGTGGGGGGCGCCGGGGGGGAGAAGGGCAAATCCTGACGGGGGGAGCCGGGAGCACGGCGCCTTCGGATGTGTCGGCTTCAGCTGGGCTGGACGGCCGGGTGGAGGCTGCTGCCGGGAGCGGGCAGCTGAGGCTGGGGAGGGCCGGGGCTGGAGGTGGCCATCTGCTGGGGTGGCCAAGGCCCTGCTGGGGACCAGAACTTGCAGCCCATCAGAGATCTGCTGATAGCCAGGGCCCGTCCTGGGAGAGCACCCCAGGGCCCCTACCCTCAGGGACTGGCAGGGCAGGGGATGCAGGAGCTGGCTGCCAGGATGGTGCGGGGGCTGGGCCTCCCCCTGACACTGCACTTTCCTTTCCGTATCTTCCGGGCTGCAGGGAACGCCACAGACATCAACGATAACAGGTGAGGCCAGGGGCTCCCGCGGGGGAAGGGGGGTGCTGGGGTGTGGCTCCTGGGGAGGCCAGCAACGCACAGGGTGGGGTTGGAACCGGGCATCCCCCAGCCAAGGGGTGTCACAAGGAGGGCGTCGTCCATGCCCGACAGCCCTGGGTTCAGGCCGTCTGCCCCGGGTTGGAGCAGCCAGGCTCTGGTCTGGGGAGGGGGTTGGCACTAGGGGGAGGGGCCTCCCGGGGCACAGCTGGGGGGGCGGGCAGAGCTGAGCCCTCTCTCTGCCCGCAGAAGTGAGCTGCCCTGCAGCTGCCAGGCTGACGAACAAGCTAAGCTGTTCCCACTCCACCAGGAGACAGCAGCCAGCTAATAGCGCAGCTGGTGAGTGCCCTGCTCTGCCAGGTACCGCCCTGCCCTGCAGGCCTCTGCCCCTGCATCTGCCCTGCCGGGTACTGCCCCATGAGCCTCTGCCCCTGCCCTGCTCTGCCGGGTACCACCCTGGCCACAGGCCTCTGCCCCTGCACCCTCCGCCCTGCCAGGGACCGCCCTGCCCCATGGGCCTCTGCCCCTGCAGCCCCTGCCCTGCCCTGTGGGCCTCTGCCCCTGCACTTCTCCCCCTGTTAGGGACTCCTTGCTATCTGCACCCTCCCGGAGAACAACCCCCATTGCACCTGCCCCCCACCCTCCTGCAGTCGCACTGTTGCTGCCCCCCCCAATGCCTTTCAGTATCATGTGCACCACCTTCCTAGAGCCCCCCAGTGTCACACTGGCACTGCCTTGCCAGCTCCCCAGTATCGCGCCTGCACCCTTGGGTGCCTTCCCCTGCTGCCTCCCACATTAACCCTCCTCCATTGTGTGTCGCCCTGGGGGTTCTACCGTGAAAACTGCTGGGGGGGGGGTGGCCCCTCCTCCTCCTGCCCCCAGGTCAAGCCGGCCTTTCCCGGGACCCCTGCCCAGCACAGCGCTGGCGGGTGAGCAAAGCTTGCCCCGGGGCAGGTCCCTGCTGTCCAGGGCGGCTTGAGATCTCACCCCATCCCCTCTTCTCTTGTAGTTTCTAACTGAGCTGGAGGCCTCTGCTCAGCATGCTGCTCTCTGGCTTCCCGGGGCCTCTCTACTAACCCCCGTCTGTCCGTCCGCGCGTCTGACTGTCCTGCTCTCTCGTCTCCTGTGTCGTTTCCCAGCTGCTGCGCTCGCTCTCTCGCGCTCTCTCTGTCCTTGCAAGCTCGTTGATGTCGTAGCTCGCCCGTCGGGTCTGGGCCCGGCCTGCCTGGGGCTGGCGCTCTGCCCGGGCTCGGCCTAGGAGCTGGTGCGGTGGCCCCTCCGGCCCAGCCCCGACCCACCTTGATTTTAAAATGCCTTAAGCAGACACCACGAGGAATGTCTGGCATCGAACCCAGGCCCCAGGACGAGTGCCCTCCACCCCCCCCCCGCGCACCAGCTCCTCTGCACCCCATGGAGAGGGGGGTATTAGCCATTTCACCCCACATCCCTTCATCCCCCTCCTAGCCCTGGGGGTCCCAGAGCCCATGGCACCCCCAGGCGCTGCCCTTCCCCTGCTGTACTGGGACCTGCTGAGGCAGAGGTGTCCCCAGTAGGGGGCGCCCTATGCATAGCCAGCAGCAGGGGCGCATTGCCAGGCCCGGGGAGCCTGCTTTCTCATCTCAAGGGGTGAGCCCCCCCCAGCCTGCCATGCCGCTGGGGTGGAAGAGGCCCTGCAGCGTGGCCAGGTCAGTGCCTCAGGCTCGTCCCTCTGTCCCCCCAATGACAGTGCGCCCACCCCCCTCGCTGCACCCCAAGCTGCCAGCACTGCCCCAGCCTAGCCTGGCATCTGGACTTGGTGCTGCAGCGGCTGCCGAGTGGCCGTCTGTCCCTTCCACCGCAGCCGTGCTGGGGAGACAGCTGCTCCCCGGCCTCGCCCAGCGTCAGACGAACCCCTGGAGAGCCCTTGTCCCGCGGGCAGGCTCAACAGAGATGCCGGGGAGCCCCAGCTCTCGTGCTGCGAGGGGTCCCTCCTGGGCAGGGCTCAGGGATCTGTATCTGGGCTGCAGTCTGCATCCTGCCCCCAGGAAGGGTCCCACCTCCCGGCACTGTCTGAGCTGGGCTCCTTCCTGCTCTGGGAGCCTATGTGCCCCTCGGCCTCACTCACCAGGCTACTGAGCCAGGAGGGGGTGGGGGTGCACACTGCTCGTCTCCTCTGGGTGCCTTCCAGAGAGAGGGGGGCTCCCGTCAGAGCTAGCAGGTGGGGTGCTTTGGGGGCAGAGATGCTGTGCTATAAAATGGGGGGATACAATGTTGTGAAAACTACTTGTGGGGGTTTGCCCCTCCCCACGATGCCCATTATACAGCTTAGCCTATGGGGCCCGGGCACCCTGCACGGTGCTGTTCTGGACAAACCAAAGCTGCTAAACCCACGTTGGTGTCTTTTTTCCGTGTCACGGAGTAGCTGGGCTGGAGGGCAGCCGCCTCTAGCTTGCGTATGTGTGTCCCAAAGGGAAGCACGCAGACCACCTCCCCTGCTCCCCGCTTCTCCCATCGCCACAGCTGATATGCCCAGAGCAGAGCGGGCCGGGCGCACCCTCAGCCCTACGTCGGGGTCACTCTGCCCCGCTCCTGAGAGGCAGGAACACGCAGGCCCTGCCCACCCGCACCCCCCGTCTGCTCACCTCACACCAAAACGTTGCATGTTGGAGTAAAAAGTGTTTGTTTAAAAAAATCAATCAATAAAGAGATGAGAATGAGCGAGCGCCCTGGTGTCTGTGTGTGTGTGTGTGGGGGGGAGCAGTGGGCATGAGACAGAAGCAAGAAACTTGTGGCCAGGCAACGTCCTTTGGTCTTGTGTTTGTGCAGCACTGTACACAGCGGCATGGTTCACAACGGGGGCTCCTACATCAGGCAGGGATGGGAATAACCTTCGCTAGCCCATGGGCCTGTTATCCTGCCTTGGCCTGGGAGGTGAGAACAAGCTGGACATGGGACTTTTGAGAATTGAAGAGTAGGGAAATATAACATCTCTCCCTCCATCCTAGTGTTGGGCATGCAAGCTTTCTCCTGAAGGTGGTATGGTGGGCAGGGAAGAAACCTGCTGCCCAGAAAAGCCAACCCTCGGCAGGCCAAAGCTAGGACAGAACTGACCTTCTGCTCCTCGACTGGCCCTGAGTCTGGCTCCTCCCAACCCACCATTTACAGCTATTTCGCTTTGTACGTCAAAGAACCTCAGAGCCAGCCACAGCCTCCCAGGGCAGGAGCAACCCTCGCGTGCTGTAGAAGGGATGTTAGCCTGGCTCTGAGCACAACCCCTCCTGCCAGTTTTGTGCCCTGGGAGTGATGCCAACCCACAGCCCACATCTGCCTGCCCATGACCAGCCCACGGAATCATCCCTGAGCTCTGGTTTCTAATCCCCATGCAAGGCTGTGGCTGCGCACAGGGGTGGATGTGCCCAAGAGAACCCCCAAGCCTGGTTTGCAGCAGAGGAGGGATGAAGGGGAAGCTGAGGGCAGGGATGAAGTGACTGTGTGGTGGCTGGGGGGCTGCCCCTTGGGGCGTGATGCTGTGCCGGGCATCAAGGGGATGTCCGGGAGCGGGAATGAGATCAGGAACCTCTTGGCTCTGATCCAGCCCAGCTGGGGGTATGTGACCTGCCTCAGCTCCCATCTGATACGTGGGAGCTCTCAGGCCAGGTCTCAGGAGGGGTTGCGCCCTTGTGACACACACATACAGGTGGCTCATGGGCCCAAGAGCTGCTAGCCCTGGAGGCTGAACCCTCTCCCCCTCTTGGGGCACAAGAGGGGAATGAGGTTGTGAACTTTACCCGTTGCTTTGCAGCAGGTGACCCCTAAGATCGTGGCCCACTACTCCACCTGAGTAGGGTCACAGATCAAAGAGCTTAGGGACCATCTGACCCTTCTGTGTAACACAAGCCATTTAACTTCATCCCGTTACACATGCACTGAGCCCAAGAACTTGTGTTTGACTAAAACATCTTCCGGATAAGCCTCCAGCTTGGATCTGGGACACCAAGAGACGGAGAATCCATCACTCGGGAGGTAGTTCCAATGGTTAAACACCCATCCAGTTAAATGTGTGTCATTTTTAATGTGATTTTCTCTGGCTTCAGTTTCCAACCATCGGTTCTTGTCCTGCCTTTCTCTGCTAGGGCAAAGAGCCCTGCAGGACCCAGGGTTTTCTCCCTGTGAAGATACTTAGATGCTCTAATCTGGTCCCCTCTCAATCTCCTTTCTGATAAGTGAAACGGACTGAGCTCTCAGAGTCTCTGCATTTTCTCCAGCCTGCAAATCAGTTTTGTGGCTCTTTTCTGCATCCTCAACAACTATCCAACAGCCTTTTTAAAACGGGGACCCCAGATTTGGCCAGTTTCCAACAGCGATTGCTCTCCCCGAAGCCGCAGACAGAGATAAAGCTGCCGACTGGCTCTTTCTGCCGCCACATCGCCCCGGGAGCCGGGGGAGTCGTGTGTCCAGTGTGACCCTGCGATCCTTTGTGGAGATGCTGCTTTCCTGGATCCCCCTGGCCCCCCATTCTGTAGGTCTGGCCAGCGGGCCTCACCCCCAGCGAGCACCCTGCATGTGGCTGGATGAAAACACAGGTTGTTTGAATAGGTCCAGAACTTGCTCTACAGCGATGCTCCCCCAGCCCGGCTCATTCTGTGCACCCCTGGCCTGGCCTGGCCCACTACCCTGCCCCCCGGCCTGTCCTGGCCCCCTGTGCCCCGACCCAGCCCAGCCCACTGCCCTGCCCTGGCTCCCTGTTCCCCTGCCCAGCCCCCCGGCCTGTCCTGGCCCCCTGGCCCAGCCCAGCCCACTGCCCTGCCCCCCTGTTCCCCTGCCCGGCCCGGCCCCCCTGCCTGTCCTGGCCCCCTGGCCCAGCCCAGCCCACTGCCCTGCCCTGGCCCTGTTCCCCTGCCCAGCCCCCCGGCCTGCCCTGGCCCACTGTGCCCTGGCCCAGCCCAGCCCACTGCCCTGCCCTGGCCCCCTGTTCCCCTGCCCGGCCCGGCCCCCCGGCCTGCCCTGGCCAGCCCAGCCCCAGCCCACTGCCCTGCCCTGCCCTGGCCCCCTGTTCCCCTGCCCGGCCCCCCTGCCTGTCCTGGCCCCCTGGCCCAGCCCAGCCCACTGCCCTGCCCTGGCCCCCCTGTTCCCCTGCCCAGCCCCCCAGCCTGCCCTGATCCCCTGTGCCCTGGCCAGCCCACCCCAGCCCACTCCCTCCCTGCCCTCCCTGCTCTGCCCGCCCCCCCTGTCCTGGTCCCCTGTGCCCCAGCCCCTGCCCTCCCTGCCCCCTGCCCAGCCCCCCGGCCTGCCCTGGCCCACTGTGCCCTGGCCACTGCCCTGCCCTCCTGTTCCCCGGCCCGGCCCCCCGGCCTGCCCTGATCCCCTGTGCCCTGGCCAGCCCAGCCCCAGCCCACTGCCCTGCCCTGCCCTGCCCTGGCTCTGCCCGGCCCCCCGGCCTGTCCTGGTCCCCTGTGCCCCAGCCCGCCCCAGCCCCTGCCCTGCCCTGCCCCCCTGCCCAGCCCCCCGGCCTGCCCTGGCCCACTGTGCCCTGGCCCAGCCCAGCCCACTGCCCTGCCCCCCTGCCCGGCCCGGCCCCCCGGCCTGCCCTGGTCCCCTGTGCCCTGGCCAGCCCAGCCCCAGCCCACTGCCCTGCCCTGCCCGGCCCGTCCTGGCCCCCCGGCCTGTCCTGGCCCCCCCCAGCCCAGCCCACTGCCCTGCCCCCCTGCCCGGCCCGGCCCCCCGGCCTGCCCTGGTCCCCTGGCCAGCCCAGCCCCAGCCCACTGCCCTGCCCTGCCCGGCCCGTCCTGGCCCCCCGGCCTGTCCTGGCCCCCGGCCCAGCCCAGCCCACTGCCCTGCCCTGGCCCTGTTCCCCTGCCCAGCCCCCGGCCTCCCTGGCCCACTGTGCCCCGGCCCAGCCCCAGCCCCAGCCCCAGCCCACTGCCCTGCCCTGCTCTGCCCCCCCCCCCCCCCCCCCCTTGCCCCGCCCAGCCCCAGCCCACTGCCCTGGCCTGGCCCCCTGTGCCCCAGCCTGGCCTCCCCCCACGGATAGGCCAGGGCCTGACCCACGCTGCGCACGTGTTCCAGACTGACCTTTGTCCTCTGCCCCCAGATGGGGTCACGACCCCCGAGAAGCCGGACCGCGCCGGCTCGTGACCTTTGCCCCTTCAAACCCCCCCCCCCGCCCGCGCAACGCGGTGCGGCGCCCGCCCCCGTCACGTGACGGGGGAGTCAGCTGGGCCCGGCTTCCGGCGCCGGGGGCAGAAGGCGGAAGCGCGGCCGCGCGGGCCGAGCAGGGACATGGCCGCCGCCGCCGCCGCCCCGGGCCCGCCGCGCCGCGCACCAAGACCAAGCGGAAGCGCTTCGTGCCCCAGCGCCTCAAGGTGCCGCGGGCGGCGGACCCGCTGCTGGGCGTGTTGGGCTGGGGCGTCCAGCACCAGGTGAGGGCGGGGCCCGGCCCCGGGGCCCCCCGGGACCCCCCCCACCGGGGGCCTCCCCTCACTGCCCCCCCCCCCGGGGCCTCCCCCGATCCCGGCCCCTCCCTGATCCTGGGACCCCCTGATCCTGGCCTGGGGCCCCTGGAGACCCCCCTGCTCTGCTGGTTTGGGGCGTCCAGTGCCAGGTGAGGGCGGGCGCCTGGCCCCCCACAGCCGCCTGGGATGCCCTGATCCAGGCCTGGGACCCCGCAGCCTCCCCTGCGACTTCACTGCTCCCCTGGGCTGGGGTGTCCAGTGCCCGGTGCCCCCCAGGGCTCCCTGATCCTGGCCCCCCATTATCTTCTGGGGCCCCCCTGATCTTGGCTTGGGACCCTCTGACCCTGAGCCCCTTAGATGTCACTGCCCCCCCTGGGCTGAGGTGTCCAGCCCTGGATGAGGGCAGGGTCCCCAGGACACCTGCCTCCCGCTGTGCCCCTGGGACACCCCCCCCGTGCCTTCCCCCCCAGTCTGAGAGCCTGTGATTCTCCCCCACCCCTGACCTCACTGCCTCTTGGGAGTGAGTTGTGGCCTTCAGCACCAGGTGAGACCAGGACACCCCCCCGCACTGTCCCCAGCCCAGGGCCCACTGACTCCCTCCAGCCTAGAACCTTAGTGCCCCTCTGAGCTGGGGTATCCCCCACCAGGTGAGACACCCCACACTATTCCCATTAGTACCTGGGCTGGGCATTTCCTCCACCTCTGCTTCCCCCCACCCCAGCGTGAGTCACAATGTGAATTCGGCTGAAGCTGCCCCTTTCTCCAGCCTTCAGCTGAGGCAATGGGTCTGACGGGGGGCGGGGGTGGAGTCCCAGTTCTGCAGGAGTTGGGTAGATCTGACCCCTTGGGTGTGGGTGTGAATTTTGTGGGGTTTACTGCTGAACGTCTGTTTGTGCCCCCACAGCTCCTGGCGACTGTGGTCCTTAAATAGTCCTGATCTCTAGGGCTACAGCCGTGGAGCTTGGTAACCAGGTCACAGCGCAAATCAGGGCAACTCCCTGGGAATGAGGGCAGAATTATTCCAGTCTGTAGACAGGGAAAATGAGGCTCCCAGGCGCTGCTGGCATCACAGTCCTCTGCTCAGACCCCCTCCGAGGGAGCCCTGTGGGGCTTAGAAGGGGTGGCCTGCGCCTTTCGAGGCATGTGTACCGTGCTCTGGTGTTTGAGCGCCTAAGCCCCCCTGACTGATGGCAACTGGTCCGTATGAGGGATCCTAGTAGGCAAGAGCTAGTGAGATCCTGAATACAAAAAGCACTTTGTGACCCATGTCCGGGGCGCAGCATCCTCACATAGCAGCAAGCTGAATAGGGGAGAACGTCCCAGCCCCATGGTGCCAAGTGGGACCTGGAGCAGGCATCTGCACTGTGGGATCAGTGTCTCAACCCACACTCCTCTCAGGTGCGCCGTACCAGGGCCATCCCCTAGCCGCAGGCTGAGACCAGAAGCCAAGGGACCTGCCTTCTGATTTCAGGGGCTGTAGGTGACACTCCTGTCCAGCCCCCTAGAATGCCAGAGCTCTGTGTCCTGCTTAACCAGCCCCAGAACAACCCGGACTTCACAGTGTAGCAGGCTGATGGTATGTGGGCCTTGTAGCATGGAGTGTGGTGGTCCCTTAACCCTAGCCTGGCCAGCTGCTGCCTTCCTGGCTGGTAGTCCCAGGTGGCGCCTTTGCTTCGTTGGCTCCCTGTTTGATGTGTTTCATTTGTACCATGGCTTAAAAAGATCATGTGGCTGGGTAAGAAACGGATCAAGTTTTCGAACTGGTGGAGCTCAGATCTCTCGAGCGTCTGGTTGCTCGTGGAGTTCAAGCATTCTCTCGGCGTGGGCTCCCACGCGCATGGACTTGCAGTGTTCTGTTAAACTGCCAGGATCCCGCCGCGTGCCATCGCTTTGTGTCTCTTAACGCTGGGGCTCTTTGTGTTGAGGGCAGGTTTATTTTGATGACTGCGGCTTGGCCCCTTGCGACGGACGGTTCCTCTCTTAGGAGCGGGTCCGTGAGCTCTTAATGGGGCTCAGCTGGCCATTAATAACTCTTATAGTGTCCTTCATCCCCGGCTTGCAAGCACCTCTCAGAGAGGGAAGTACCATTTAGGGGGAACTGAGGCACGGGGCAGGAATGGGACCTTGACCAAGATGGTAGAGCTGGGATATGAAACGGGGGGTCTCTGAGGTCTGGTGTGCTCCCAGTGACTCTGCTGGAGCTTGGTTGCCTTCTAGCTGCTGATGGCAGAGCCCCAAAACCTCGCTGTGCAGCTTTGGGGACTGTCCGCATGGAGTCTGTAGGGCAAAGCTGGGTGGGGCGCCAACAGCCCCGCCCCAGAACTCAGTGGCCACGGCGTCTCCTGCTGCAGCCTCCCCTTATGTTGGGCTCGCTGCAGCCAGCTAAAACGGGAGCTCCCACCACACGCATGCCCTCCCAGCCAGCTCGCGCCTCCCACAGGTTTGAGTGGTCTCTGCTCCCTGCACCTGGGGTTCGGGGTGGAGTCTGAGCAGCTACAGGCCAGAGCCTGGCTTGTCCCAGCTGCTGCTTTCCTCTGCCGTGCTTGACACCACTATGCCTGAGCAATGGGTGAACCCCTCCGTGTTAATCCACAGGCCGTTCCCAGAGCTCCCTGGAACGCCAACTGACGGGGTGCTTGCTGCCTGAATTAGCTATTTATAGCCGCTTACGCTGTTTCCCTGGGCTCCTGTCACCCCGTTCCAATGGCCTGGCTGTATATTACCCCGTCCAATAGGGGGCGGTCACAGGTTGCCTGGCACTTGCTGTCCGGTTCATTTGGAATAGCCCCGGGAGGGGAGCTCAAATTCTTCCCTGGCATCTCTCTACTGACGTGCTCTGGACATTGCCAAGCAGCCTTCTGACCAGGCCCTGAGCTGGGTTTTTTTGGCCATCCCAGCTGGCTCTGGGTGGCTGGGTTGTCTCAACTCTGCAGGGACTTGCTGGGATCACTGTCCTAGCCCCCCTGCTGCGCCGTTAGCAGGAATGGAAGCTGTCCCATGGAGCGTTGGCTCTGCCCGCTTCTGTGCACCTGGATGAGGTTGGCAGGGTACCCAGCAGCAGGTCTGAGCGCCCCTGGGGTTTGCACGCCGCCTTCTGAAGCTCAAAACCTGCACACGGGGTGGGGAGTAACCCGCTTGTTCTGTGTTGCGTTGCCAGATCAATGAGCTAAGCCAGGTTCCCCTGCCGGTGATGCTGCTACCCGACGACTTTAAAGCCAACTCTAAAATCAAAGTGAACAATCATCTCTTCAACCGGTGAGTCGCTGCAGGAGGCTGCTGCCCCCACGGAGTCTGCGTGCTTGGGGGGGGTGGGCATGTGCGTGTGCACGGTTCACTGGCTGGTATCGAAATAGCTGTGGTTGGATCTAGTACATTACGCCCCCAGTGCACCAGGGATCAGCTCAGGAGAAAGCAGGGTTGGCGTCGTCCTGGATGATTGAGTCCTGCCTCTGTGTGGGGGATTGGGCTCGACGACCTTTTGGGGTCCTGCATCTCTCTGATTGCTTCTGTGCTGAGCCCAGCACCCCGGTTTGTTGCTGCCCTCCCAGCATCACCTGCAGGATTTAGAGTCAGCTTCCTGCCTGCTAGAGCTTATGAAAGCTCTCCGGGCTCTTCTCGCAAGGGCTGATGTGCCCTCCGGTTTGGGAAGCTTTGTTTGGGTTCTCCAAATTTCCACCCTGGCTCAGCCGGCTGCAGGAGTGTCGGGGGGCCACGGGATCCATGCTATGCCACGGCTTTTAAACAGTCCCTTGGAGGAACCCCTCAGTGAGCCAGGCCCCCCCACTTGCTCCCCAGCGGGTCTCACTCTTCCTCAAGGGCTGCCTCAGCTCCCGAGATTGGCTCCTGGTCAGACTTTCCCCGCTGTGGATGCACTGCTGCCAGGTAGCCATATTCAAACCCGAGCAGGGTTTATTAGGCAGCTGGAGCCCAGCCTGGGAAGCCCTGGGAGGAGCAGAGAGAAGCAAAGGGTAAGAGATCTCCAGCTGGCAGCACCAGGGCTCTGCCCAGCCAAGCTGCTGCAGATCCCGTCTTGGCTTGCTCTTCGCCGTCCCAGGTCAGAGCTCGGTGTCCCGGAAAGGCCGGTTCTGATCCTACCCCGTTGTATCCCGATTGGTGTCATAGTTCATTCCCTGAGGCGCCTGTTGCCTTTCCAAACCCTCCATTGATACGGGCTGGTTCTAGCCAGCCCCCGAAGAGCCCCCCCGCCCACCCCTGCATCCAACGCCCCTCGTGTCTTCTGCTTTGCCCAGGAGCAGCCCGCTGCCCCTGAGTCTCCCTGCACTGGGCGCAGCCTCTGGTGCCCTCAAGCTGGCAGCCCCTTGGCATTGCTGTCTCACTTGCTGTGCTTGACGTAAGCTGCCGTTTCCCCAGCCGCTTCTCGGCCTAGCACCCTGCCCTGGAGCTAGGGAGCCATCGCTGCCTCTGCCTTCCAGCCTTAACCACCCTGTACCTGGGCCCAGGCAAAAACTAAACAGCAGACGTGACCTGAAAGCCCCCGTGTGGGATTCGCTTGCACGGAGCGTGGCAGCTGGGGACAGCACCGCCATTCTGGCAAGGAGTTGGCTCCTGAAGCTCTGGCTTGTTGCTGAATGGGATGTGAGTCCCTTTCTCTGACAGCAGGGGCAGGGCAGGTGGGGCACGTTGCTCCATTGTGACCACTTAGTCAAGAACTGCCGCGAGCTAAATCCTGCAGCCGGTCGTTTGGAGACACAGCCCGTCGGGAGTTAAAAACAGTCCGTGATGGAGGTTCCACCATGGGCTAATTCCCCTCCCTGGTAAACGTCCACCTTCTTTCCCGTCTGACGTTGTCTAGCTTCAGCTTCCGGCCGCTGGCTCTTGCTTTGCCTTTCTCCGCTTGGTGGAAGAGCCAGTTGTTAGATCTTTGCGCCCCATGTAGATACTTACAGACTGAGATCAAGTTCTCTGAAAACACCCGCTCCGTGTGCCGCAGCCGTCAAAAAGCGAACAGAGTTAGGAGCCCCTCGGAAAGGGAGAGATAATCAGACAGAAAATATCCTAACGTCACTATAGAAATCTGTGGTACGCCCAGCCTTTGAATGCTGCGCGCAGATCTCGTCACCCCGTCTCAGAAACGATGTATTTTTCCAAAGAATTGGGAAAAGAACAGAGAAGGGTGTCACGGAGTCCCCAGGCGATGCTCTGGAACTGCTCCCTACGAAGCCAGTCAGGACTCTGGGGAAGTCTCCTCTCTGGGAGCAGACTGTCTCCAGGGCAAGAAGCTCACACGGCTTCCACCTTCTTGGGTCTGACCTCAGAGCATTCAGCATCCTCTGCCGCCCCCTGCGCTTCCCACAGTGAGTCTGCCCAGGCGGGCTCCTGGGGAAGCCAGAGGGTCCTGCACCCCAACTTCGCAGTCAGACGTGACTCTTAGCCAGCCAGTAAAACAGAAGGTTTATTAGACAACAGGAACATGGTCTAAACCAGAGCTTGTAGGTGCAGAGAACAGGACCCCTCAGCCGGGTCCATTTTGTGGGGCAGTGAGCCAGACAACCACGTCTGCACTTCACTCCACATCCCCAGCCAGCCCCAAACTGACACTGACTTCCCCTCCAACCCCTCCTCCTCTGGGCTTTGTCCCTTTCCTGGGCCAGGAGAGCACCAGATTCCTTTGTTCTCCAACCCTTTAGCTGTCACCTTGCAGGGGGGAAGGGCCAGGCCATCAGTTGCCAGGAGACAGAGTGTTGGCCCTTTGCTCTGCAACAATCACACCTCCCTTATCCCACCACCTAGAGATTTAAGAAATGCATGGGGGAAACTGAGGCACCCCTACAGTATTCAGAGGATACATTAAGAACAGTCCCACTTCATCACAAAGGGCAACAAAAATGATTAGGGGGATGGAGCAGCTTCCATGTGAGGAGAGATTAAAAAGACAGGGACTGTTTCTCTTAGAAAAGAGAAAAGGAGTACTTGTGGCACCTTAGAGACTAACAAATTTATTTGAACATGAGTGTTGTTTACCTCTTCACGTGACCCAAGAACCAGGGGTCAGCCAATGAAATGAATAGGCAGCAGGTTTAAAACAAACCAGGAAGTAGTTCTTCACCCAACGCACAGTTGACCTGTAGAACACATTGCTGGAGGATCCTGTGAATGCCAAAACTGGGTTCAAAAAAGAATTGGCTAAGTTTACGGAGGACAGGTCCAGCAATGGCTATTAGCCAAGATGGTCAGGGGTGCGATCCCATGAGTGTCCCTAAATCTGGGACTGGCCAACAGGCGATGGATCACTTGATAAATTGCCCTGTTCTGTTCCTTCCCTCTGAAGTATCTGGTGCTGGCTGCTGTCGGTAGACAGGATACTGGGCTAGATGGACCTTTTGTCTGACCCAGTGTGGTCGTTCTAACATTAACCATCTCTTCACTTAACCTTTGCTTTGTTAATCTAAGGAGCTCAGTCTGTCCTTATAAGGCAGGTTTCTGATCCCGTAACCGTTCTTGGGGCTCTTCTCTGAACCCTTTCCAAGTTATGTAGCAACATCCAGAATGGGACGCAGGATTCCAGCAGTGGTCAGCCCAGTGCCAAATATTCGAGGTAAAATAACCTCTCCACTGTCCACTCCAACTCGAGATTCCCCTGTGTCCTGGGCTGGCATTAGATTGGCCACGGCATGGCACTGGGAGCTTATGCTCAGCTGATTCTGTCATGCCCCCCCGAATCTTCTTCAGAGTTCCTGTGTCCCAGGAGAGCGCCCCCTGGCCTTCTTGCACCTGCTTGTTGAACCCCTGCCAGCGTCCCCACCTGCGGGGTGATCCCTGGCTGTCTAGCTGTCTGTCTGGCTCTGTCCTCCAACCTCTGCCTTCTGCTTTGACTGCCAGCCAGGAGGGTCCCCGATGCCAGAGGTGGGTTAAGGAGCCCACAGGCCGGGCGGTATTGGACTGAATCGCATGGTTACGGCTGTGACTGTGCCAGGCTCCTGGTCCCTTCCTGGAGCCAGCTGGTCCCTCTGGTTCTAAACACTGACCCCCCCCCACCCCTCCTTTGCCGCTTCAGGGAGAACCTGCCCAGTCACTTCAAGTTCAAGGAGTACTGCCCACAGGTCTTCCGCAACCTCCGCGAGCGCTTCGGGATTGATGACCAGGACTACCAGGTGGGTAGCACGTTCCCTCGACACCGAGTGTGTCTGGGGTGGCGGGGGGAGGTGTGTCCTGGGCCCCCCGTTCCAGGGCCCTCTGTGCATAGAGGGGGACGTACACAGACCCAGGCAGCTACCCTGCACCCCTTAAAGCTTTCCTTGGAACGCCCGCCTCTTCGCCGGGGCGGGTTGGGACCGGCTGAGCTGGGGTTGGCCACAGCAGCCTTGTTGCAGCCCTGGCCGATTCTCTGATATTGCTGGGGTGGTGCCCCTCACCGGGGCACCTTGGCAAGGCAGGCTGCTGAGAGATGCCCCTGAAACTCACCATCTGCCCCATTAGAGGGTGGAATGCCCCGGAGTGGGATGTCCCTGGTGTGCCCCGGGGTCGGCGCCGGGCATGGTTCTCACACCTGCTCCCCCCCCCAGGTCTCCCTGACACGCAGCCCGCCCCACTACGAAGGTGAGGGGAGCGACCGGCGTTTCCTCACCTCCTACGACCGGACGCTGGTGATCAAGGAGATCTCCAGCGAAGACGTGGCTGACGTGCACAGCCTCCTTTCGCACTACCACCAGGTACGGCTGGCCAGGGGGCGGGGAGGAGGCTCTGAGGTGTCCCTGCCTCGCCACCAGGGGGCGCCAGAGCGAACCTGCCTGCTGCTGGGAGGAAAAGATCCAAGTTCTAATCCCAGCCCTGCCACCAACCTGCAGTCACGAGGGCACGTCACTGCCCCCCTCCCCCCCTTCTGGCTGGGGTCTCCAGAGGCATGACCGGCTGGTGCCTCGCTCTCTGCCCTGGCCCCTGCTGGTCTGACGTGGCCCCGTCTCCTTGCAGTACGTGGTGAAGTGCCACGGGATCACCCTGCTGCCCCAGTTCCTGGGGATGTACCGGCTCAGCGTGGACAGCGAGGAGACCTACGTGCTGATCATGAGGAATGTGTTCAGCCACCGGCTTGCCGTGCACAGGAAGTACGACCTGAAGGTAACGGGGCCGGCGGGCAGGGCCAGGGGCGTTCACCTGAGCCAGGCTCCCGGGGCACCCACCGTCCCTGCAGAGACACGGGCTGCTGATCACACTGCCGGCCCGTCTAGTCTGTCAGGGGGACCCCGCTCTCTGTTCCCCTCCTGTGAGGCTGTGTCACCAGGGGTTGGCCCAGAGCATTGCTCCCCGAGGAGTCGATTGCCCCGGCTGCACCCGATTGGTCTCTCTGCCCTGAACCCCGCTTTCAGCAGCAGTTCGATAGAGACCCTCCTTCCCATTGCCCCTGCTGGGTCTTCCCTGGCCGAGGGAGCTTCTCTCACACCTCTGGACCCCAAAGGGCTCCCACAGGCTGGTCGGGATCAGGGTCAGGCCAACCGGGGCTGTGCGGCGTCCGTCTGAAACACCCCAGGACAGGCCCCCATTGGAGCTGTGGCTCTCATCGCTTTCCATACCGGGACACCACGTGGCAACCTAGTTTAGGGGCCCCATTTCCCCACAAAGGGCAGGTGGTTGCGACCCACCCTGGACCTGTTTGTGCCCTCCCCACCCCAGCATGATCCCAGGTGCTGCGGGTAGCTGTTTGGAGAGGCCGTTGTCAGCAGCAGCTGTGTGGAACTCGGGCCAGTTGCCTGGACGGATCCCACAGCCAAGCGGCTCGGAGGCCCTGGGACTAGCCCGGGGGCTCAGGGCAGTGAGGGCATTTAGCCGCTTGGCTCCCATCCATAATAATCAGGTGACAGTCCCCTAAATATCCCCCATCTTCTCCCTCTTGCTGTGGCTTCTTGCGGCCACCTGCTCTGTGCCTCTCCCCACAGACTCCTGGGTATATCTGACCCCTCCTCCTCCTGTGGCCGGGGTGGGGCTGGTGACTAATCGACGGGTACCTCTCTTGCAGGGCTCCCTGGTGTCCCGAGAAGCCAGCGACAAGGAGAAGGTAGCTGGGGATGGCTGAGGGTGTGGGGGGAGGAGGGGCGTGTCTCTAACCCATAGATCTCTCCACTCTGAAGCTCGCTTTCTTGGTACCTAGCTTGTTCTGGCGGGCGACAGTGCCCGGCCTCCAGGACAGCAAGCAGGGGGCCTGAGCCCCTGACTGAGAGGCATCGCTGCCCCCCAGTGAGATGGGCGGGGCGGGGGGTGACCCTGTCGGAGGCTGCTCCGGTAGGCCTGGCTGGTGGCTCCCGTGGCGGGCGGGGGGGGGGTCCTCAGGCTGCAGCCGTGGGAGCGGATCCTTGCTTCCCCTTCTGCAGATGTTCCTCAAAGCACCTGAGAACTCTACCCCTCCTCAAGGGCCAGCTTGGTATCCGGGCCCTGCCATGCCTGCCTGCTGGGGCTGAACTGGGGCGAAGCTGCCGGGTTTCCATGCCTAGAGATTGGGTCCGTGGGCCGACTACCCTGGGACTCCAGCCTTCTGGGATCCACCTCGCTGCTTGGCCCCGCTGGGCACACAGCCGCCTCCCGCCTGGGCCGCCCCACACCGAGTGGGAGCCGGGGCGAGCAGCCAAGTGAAGGGGGTGGCAGCTGTTGGGAATGCAGCCCTGTGCTTCTGGATAGGGAAGGGGCTCGGGTTTGTTCTCTGGGATCCCTGGGGCTGGGCAGCAGGAAACTATGGGGTGTCCTGTGCCCAGCTTAGGGGGATCTTGCTGCTGAACGGGCGTTAACCAGGGCCTGCTGACTCCATGGGAAGAGCTGGCCTCTGTCCCCTCGGGGTGGGGGTAGGGGAGCCGCCGTCTGGTCTCCCCCACCCTAGGGAGGTGGAGCGTAGGATGGGCCTCTGTCTCTGATCTCTGATGTGGTACCACTGCTGGGATGGGCCAGCAGGTGGGTTTCATGGGGCGCTCTTGGCGGTGTGGGGAGCCAGGCTGGGCTCAAGCTGGTATCCCCTGGCCAGATAGAGCATGCCGGGGAGCAGCCCAGCCCCCTTCGAAAGGCAGCTCGAGCTGGCGAGGAATCAGCTGCTGTTAAATCCCGGCCTGAAGCACCGGGCAGGGGGAGCGGTTCTCAGCCCTGCACGGCCACCCCGCTGCCCTCTAGGGTGGGGGTGTCCAGGGCAGCAGCCCTCTCCCCCAGCACAGGCCTTGGTGGGCTCCGTGCGGAGCTCTGCGGGCCTTGGGGTCACCTTACCAGCGCTCTCCAGCTGTGGCTTGCTCTGGGGGGACTGATGCGAAGGGGCAGCAAGGCCGGTTCGTGGGCAGGAGTGGGGACGAGCTGATGCCAGCCTTGGCCAGAGGCTCGCTCTGTCTGGCTGGGGCCTGTGATTGACTAACCAGTCGCGGCTCTCCACGAGAGCCGTTCGGGGTGGAGGGGGGAATGACCTGAGTTAGCCGGATAATCCTGATCTCGTAAGTGGCCTCCCCTGCCCTAAAGCCCGGGGTGGCGTCAGCCTCCAGTTAACAAGATTTGAGGGCCGCGAGATAATGGCGAGGGAAGGTTGATGGGATTGGAGCCTTCGGCTCAGCTGCCGGGGGAATCCTGCCAGGCTGAGGGGCTCTGGTGCTGCGTTGGGAGCCAGCCGCCGGCTCCTGTTGAGTCTTGCCTCTGGGGGGAACGGCTCCCTTACGGCCGGGCTCCTGTCACCAGCTCCTCCAGCCTTTGGGCACGGGTGCCATGTCCCTGGCCCCGCGCCCGCTGGCTGGCCCGGCTGCGGAATTCCTGGGGCAGCGGGTGAGGAATAACCTGGGATTCCCAGGCAGGGCCCTGTGGGGCAGGCGTCCTGGGCTACACAGCCGGGGGGGGGGAGGGATGTATGTTCTGCATGGCGCTTCCGGGTGGGGGGTTAAATGGGGCATTTCCCTTGGGTTCCACCAGGCGGAGCAGGTGGATTCTCAATTTTGGACCCTTGCAGAGGAGGTGGGGAGGGGCACTGCATTACCTGTGGGCCCCTTCACCCCATGGGCATGTGCCCCCGAACCGTCCCAGGAGGGGCAGCCCCTAGTCTGACGGGTCTCTTGTTAGAGGGGCTGTGGGTTGCAAGGGGGTTTCACGGGGCCCAGTGCAACTCTGAACTGGGCTGCTTTGCAGGCTGTCCCTCGGTGCGTGGCCCCGCGTGTGTGAGGCTCCCCCTCCACCCCCCGGACCACTAACCGTGTCTGGTTCCTTCCAGGTCAAGGAGCTGCCCACGCTGAAGGACATGGACTTCCTGCACATGAGCCAGAAGGTGTATGTGGATGAGGGGCAGAAGGGTGACTTCATGGAGAAGCTGAAGAGGGATGTGGAGGTAGGGCATGCCCCCTGGTGGGGCAGGGCACGGGCATGTCTGACCTCCATGCTGAGGTGGCAACTGTCCTGTGTCACCTTGGCAAGGCGACTGGGATCGGTTGCGGGCACCACCTGCAGGAGGGTGCTTGGGGGCGTCTCACCTTCCCAAAAGAGCTTGTCCTCCCTGAGACGATCGGCCCAGACCCGCACGGGGCAGCCTGTTAAGCACGGCTTGTCTAGCAACCAAAACCGGCTTGGGGGCTCTGCCAGACCCCTTGGGGCGCGTTGCCACTGCTGGTAGGGACTGAAACCTGGGGCAGAGGGATCGGGGGGGGTCTCAGCCGTGAGAAAGAAAGGCAGTGCCTTGGGAGGCTTGGTGCCCGGGTGCCCAGCAGCCCTGCCTGTGCCAGGCAATATGTTACAGTGAGAGCTGCACAAAGGAGAGACAGCAGGGCTGCCTTGCCAGGGTCACAGGCTGTTGGCAGTGGCTGGTACCAAGGGCCTGGCACTGCTGGGTCTCCCACGCCCACAGTAGCAGGTCCCTCGCGGCTCAGCTGACATTCTCAGCTGTGGAAGGGGGGGTTCCCAAACGTCCCTGCAACCCAACGGAGCCGGAGAACTGCATCATGGGCCATGTCTAGCACCTCTTCCTGGAGTGTGGTGCGGCCCTGTGCGGTCGGGGTTCTCCCTGCCCTGCAGATCGGGGCAGGGGAACAGCCCCTTAGAGCAGGCCAAGGCAGGGCCTTGGGCCCTGCTCTAACCACTAGGTAACTTGGCCTGAGTGGGAGCAGCGGTGGCTTCTAAGGAGCCCCCTGGGTGGAATGGAGCCTGTCCCTGCTGCCCTGGTTCACCCCCTGCCCGCTGCACCCCTAGTTCCTGGTCCAGCTGAAGATCATGGATTACAGCCTGCTGCTGGGCATCCATGATGTCCTCCGGGCCGAGCAGGAGGAGGACGAGGATCTGAAGGAGGAGGAAGAGGAGGGGGAAGACGTCATGGCTGTGGGCTCCTACGGGACGTCCCCCGAGGGGATCGGCGGCTACCTGAACTCCTACAAGCCACTGGGCCCCGGGGAGTTCGACCCCTACGTTGACGTGTACGCCATCAAGAGCGCGGAAGGTGAGTGGGGCTGGCAGCGGCATGCCGGGGGAGCAGGGTTCTGGGGGTGGGTAGCTCTGTTCCTTCCTCACTTGCTGGCCAAAAAGCTGTTCAAAGGATGGGAGCCCCCGGCCCTTGCGTTCGGGGATGGATTTTCCCCGAATGCCTCGAAAACGGGGCCCCAGCCATGGGCGCTGGCCCGGAGCGCTCTGTGTGGCTGGTGGGTCGCATGGCCCTTTGCAGCAGCCTTGGGGCCAGGTGGCGGGGACGGGGATGGCCGAGGAGCTCGCTGAGAGTGGCAGGGCACAGATCCACTGCACCCAAGGCTGGACCCCGGTCAGGGAGCTAGTGGGTCCCTGCCAGGGTGTGGAGAGGGGTCCGTTGAAGTTCTGGCAGCCGGGGTAAGCCAGGGTGTGGCCTTTCCCCCAGGCGGGCCCCAGCCGGAGGTGTACTTCATGGGCCTCATTGACATCCTCACGCAGTACGACGCCAAGAAGAAGGCCGCACATGCCGCCAAGACCGTCAAGCATGGGGTGAGTCCCGCTCGTACCGCATCCGGGGCAGGGGGACGGAGCCTCCTGGCCACATGGGGACCGCAGGGGAAGGGAGGACGGCAGCTGCAGCCTCGATAAACTCAGCCGGGCTGCCTGGCCTCTGGCCTGTTGACCAGCAGAAAAGCGGGCGTGGGAGGGGGTGTCAGAATTGTGGGGCAGAAACCCAGGCGCCTAGCATGCTGGCTCTGGGCTCTGCCCCCCTTTGCCCCTGGGGGAGGCCAGGGGAGCAGGAATACTTCCTCCTCCCTGGTAGGTGCCCAGGGTCTGTGAGCCCATTTGGCTCCTGGCAAGTGTTGGAAGGTCTCCCTGGGGTGTCGGGGAGCCTCGCCGGAGCGGGGCTCTATCTGGGCAGGGCCGCGTGCCCCAGAGCCACTTGGCTCCTTCCCAGAAATGTCTGATCGGTGCTGCTCCTGGGGGCACCCGGCTGGCAGGGCTCCTCGCTGGTCCCCAGCTCTGCCCCAGGGCAGTTGGCGCTGACGCTGTTGTGCCCCCTGCAGGCTGGCGCGGAGATCTCGACCGTCCACCCCGAGCAGTACGCCAAGCGCTTCCTGGACTTTGTCACCAACATCTTCGCTTAGTCGTTACCTGCCTGGAGAGGCCCCCCTCTTTCCCCCCGCCCCCATCTCGTCTTGTCGGAGCTGAAGATCAAAGGCGTCCCCTGCGCCCCATCCCTTGGTCTTAGTGCCCCCCTCTGTTTGCTGGCCGAAGGGCTCAGCTGAGCTCAAGAGAAGCCTGGGGGCCGGGTGGGCTCGGTTGCAAACCAAGTGCCTTATCTTTATCTGCCCTCACTCGCCCAGCCGGAGGGGTCTCGGGCGGGAGAGAGGGGAATGGATCCTCTGACTGGGGTGCGGGGGGGGGGGCTGCTGGCTGAGGGGCCCTGTCTAGGGCTGGGGTCTGCAACCAGCCCTGTCTAAAGGGCGGGGGGGGCAGCCCAGGTCTGGCAATATGCAATAAGAGATTCCACCCTTTGGTGCCTTAGAGGGGGCAGACCAGTTCCTCCCTAGCAACAGTGACTCCCCCTCCCCCCCCTTCCCTGAGCCTGGGGTGGCAGCGGATCCCCTCTCCTGCCCACCCCCCATGTGCACTCTGTACTGGTTCCCCCCCCCCAACCCCCAGAAGGGAGAAGGTTCTCTTGGCCTGTCCCACTGTGTAATTTATTCCTAGGTGAAATCTCCCAGCTGGGGTCACGGGGGGCGTTGTTAACACTAGTTTGCATTGGGGTCCCAGCCCCTCGCTCTGCAGCCATCTCTCCCCACACACTACGTCCCCCTGGGGTCATGGCTGCTGCTGGCTCCCTTGGCGCCTGCCCCCAGCCTCACCCGCACGAGGCCACAAGCCGCGTTAGGTGCCGAAGCTGGGGTTCGAGCCAGGGCCGGGCTTTGGGCCACCAGCGCTCATGTCTCTGAGCCGCTGGGGCCAGGACCTGCTCCTCAGCCCTGCGTGCCGGAGTAGAGCGACTGGACACAGAGCTGGCTGCCCCCGGCTGTGAGCACTCTGAGCCCATATGCAGGGCTCCTGGGGCTGGCGGGCCCTCCGAGGAGTTCCACCCTTCCTCCAGCAGGAGGCGCTTGCCCCTGCCTCGGGCTGGGGCCTGACCAGCATTCATGCGGCAGGGCAAGGCTCATGCTGGATTTCAGCTTTGCCTGCCCAGGGTCCCAGCGGCCCCATGGAGGGGGCATGGCGTCGCTGCTGCTGGGATTCCTCTCCTGGCACCTGCTGCCCATGGGTTGGGCTTTCCCCTAAACGTGGGGCTGCTTCTGCCCTTGGCCTGAGCCCTCCTCAGCCCTGGCTTGGCTCGGGCCGTGAGCTGACAGCTAGCCCGGGGAGGTGGGGGCTGGGGGGAGGCCCAGGCCGGGGCAGGGCTTGGGTGGGCAGTAGCAGAGCCGGCCTCTCCCCGGGCCTGGTCTGCAATCCATTCTCCCCACTGCTGCCTTGGGGGGGCCCACAGTAGAACAGGTCAAAGAGGTGCTCTGAACTCACGCCGGCCAGGCCGGACGAAGTGACTACTCCCCTACCCAAAGCGGGCAGGGGGGTCCGCAGGGGCTCCCAAGCGGGAGAGGCGGTTCCTTGCCCTCTAGCCATCCTGCTGCGGGCAGTAACGCTCCGTGCTCTGGCCTGGGCAGGGCCCCGATCCTGCCCTTGGGCCGCTCAGGGAGAGGGGCCCTGCCGGCTGGGCTGCAGGTGAGTCTGTTGTATTTTTGTAAACTCTGGTGTATTTCCCTGCCCTGTGTCTGGATAGAAATAAATTATTGACTGACAGCAGCCTGGCTCTGGGTTCTTGGCCGGGCCAGGAGGGGCTACTGCCCTGGCAAGTGGCCAGCAAAGGGAAGGAGATACGGGGTGGGGCAGAGCCCGGCCTGCCCCTACTAGCTGTCTGGGTAGGGACTAAGGCTTGTGAATTTCGCCATCCATGCTTGGGGCGATGCCAGAGGCAGGGGTGAGGCTACGGTGCCCCCAGCCAGCTGCTGGGAGGGCAGGAACAGGGAGGGTCCTTCCTGACCCCTGGAGCCTGGGCATGAGCTGTGTGGCTACAGGTGATCCTCGGTCCTTTGGGGCTGCTGGCCCCTGCCCTGGGGGTGGCCCTCAGAAGCCCGGAGCTGGGGCTGAGCCCCCATCTCTGGTAGGGGAGAAAAAGGTTCTGGTGTTTTGTAGCCTCCCCAGCACCTATCTTGACCCATCCGGCTGCTTCCGCCTATGGGGGGGAGAGATAACTGAGTGGTACCCCCAATGGAGGGGGAGAGTCTCCTCTGCCCCCCCCCCATGGCTCCTGGCTTCAGGGCCACCCCCCAGGGGAGCTCCTCCTTATCAGCCACCTCTGTCCCCTTGCACCCCCAGCCCTGGGCCGCTGCCTTGGGCAAATTCCCCCCCCCCCCCCAAGCCTCTGCCAGGGGCGGAGTTGGAACTGCCTGACCTGAGCGCTGGGGGGGGGGGGGTTCACCATAGTATTATCTGCCCTCCCCAGTACGCCCAGCTTGGGCTTTTGAGCTTTTAAAATCCTGGCTTGTCCACCTGTCGTGGGCACGTCTCCTCCCCCCACTGCTCCGGCACGGGCAGCTCCTCTTTCTTCTCGAGCCCCTGTGATGGGCCAGGATACGAGTGGACTGCGCACTGGGTGTTACCGGGCTTGTGAGAGGGGGGCAGTGAAGCCTGACGGGTATGGGGCTGGGCCTTAGGACACCGGGGTTCTGATCCTACTTCTCCCCGACCTTCTGTGGGCCCTTGAGCAAGTCACGGCCCTGCTCTGTGCCTCAGTTTCCCTCCCTGATCTGGCTGCGGAGCCTGTGTGCGCTTTGGGTGAGGCCCTGGCTCCAGGTCTGCCTGGGGCAGTGCCTATCACCATGGGCCCCACAACCTTGGGTGGGACCCCTGGATGCTGCCCAAACCCAGCTAATGGCGCTGACAGCTCAGGGGTGGTGTCGCTTCCACCCAGCCTCGGCAGGCCACTGTCCCACCTTCGGTGCGGGCCCTGCTGCTTGCAAAACATCCAGCCCCGGCCTCGTGCTCGGGGGGCAGCCGGGGGCGGGAGGCACCGTCCAGCTGGGCTGCGCGTTCCTGTTTGACTCCCCAGGGGGTTGCCCTCAGCCCACCCTCTCCCTGGGTTTCCAGGGGAACCTGTGGGGTGGGGTGAATCCCCTGCACCCCCTGCCTGGGAAGGCCCGAAGTCCCCTCCCAGCTGGGCCCAAATGGGGTCTCTACACCAACCCCCCCCATACTGGGACTTTGCCCTACTACCTGGCTCTCTAGGGCGCCCCCCCCCCCCGCTCCAGCCTCCTATCCCCCAGACCCCAAGTGCTGTTGGGCTTTAGGCACCTGGGGGGCTAATGGGCCGGGGCCCATAGGCACAAAGCTAGAGACCTTCTCCCCCCCCCCACCCCGCAATCTCAGCTCCAGTGTCTCCCTCCCCCCCCCCAGCGAGCTCCCCTCCCCCCCCGGTTTCCATAGCGCCGCCGCAGCCCCCATCGCTCGCGTCGCGCCCGCCCCCCCCCCGCGAAGAGGAGCCGGGAGCGGGTCGCTCGCTCGCCCGCGCCAGGCCGGGGAAGGGCCGGGCCCGCCATGGCCGCGACCCCCGCTCCCGCCCCACGGCGCCTCGGGGCTGCTGCGCCGCCAGGTACGGAGCGGCCGGGATCGGGCCCCCCTGGCCCGCGCCGCTGCGAGGCTGGTTCTCGGGCTGGGGGGCTGCAGAGATGGGGTGGGAGCTGCCGGGCGTGGGGGCTGCAGAGACGGGGGCGGCCGGGCTGGGGGGGCTGCAGAGATGGGGTGGGAGCTGCCGGGCGTGGGGGCTGCAGAGACGGGGGCGGCCGGGCTGGGGGGGCTGCAGAGATGGGGTGGGAGCTGCCGGGCGTGGGGGCTGCAGAGACGGGGCTGGGGGGGCTGCAGGGGGCCCGTGCCAGGGATCGTGGCCCGGATGCACAATAGCGGCTTTCCCAGCGCTGCGGGCCATTGTGTGGGCGGGGGGGGAAGGGGGGTTGGCATGAAATTGATCTGGGCCATGGGTCGGGGGGGGGCGCTTGGTTTCCTGCCTCTGGCTGCAGATTCAGGAGGGTCGAGCCCATCACCTGTCCCGGCGGTGGGGGAGGGGGCCGCTGCCCCCCCCCCCGGAGTGTGAGCTGGGGGGGGGGGGGTGAGTCCTGCTGGGAATGCAGAGCTGGGCGCGGGGGCGATGAAGGGGTCTGAGCTGAAGGATGGGGGTGGGGGCAGATGGGGGGGTTGAGCTGAAGGGGTGATGTGGGGGTGAACGGTCGGGGCAGATGCGGGAGTCTCAGCTGAAGGATGGGAAGGGGTGATGGGGGGAGGGGAGAAGGGTGGGGGAGATGGGGAGGTCTGAGCTGAAGGATGGGGAAGGGGGAAGGGTGGGGGAGATGGGGGGTCTGAGCTGAAGGATGGGGAAGGGTGGGGGAGATGGGGGGGTCTGAGGTGAAGGATGGGGAAGGGGGGAAGAGTGGGGGAGATGGGGGTCTGAGCTGAAGAATGGGGAAGGGGGAAAGGGTGGGGGAGATGGGGGGGCCTGAGCAGAAGGATGGGGAAGGGGAGAAGGGTGGGAGAGAGGGGGGGTCTGAGCTGAAGGATGGGGAAGGGTGGGGGAGATGGGGGGGGTCTGAGGTGAAGGATGGGGAAGGGGGGAAGAGTGGGGGAGATGGGGGTCTGAGCTGAAGAATGGGGAAGGGGGAAAGGGTGGGGGAGATGGGGAAGTCTGAGCTAAAGGATGGGGGAAGGGAGGGGCAGATGGGGGGGGTCTGAGCTGAAGGATGGGAAAGGGGGGAAGGATGGGGGAGATGGGGGGGCCTGAGCTGAAGGATGGAGAAGGGGGAAAGGGTGGGAGAGAGGGGGGGGTCTGAGCTGAAGAATGGGGAAGGGGGGAAGGATGGGGGAGATGGGGGTCTGAGCTGAAGGATGGGGAAGGGAGGAAGTAGGGGGGGAGATCAGGGGTCTGAGCTGAAGGATGGGGAAGGGAGGAAGGATGAGAGAGATGGGGGTCTGAGCTGAAGGATGGGGAAGGGGGGAAGGATGGGGGAGATGGGGGAGATGGGGGGTCTGAGCTGAAGGAGGGGGAAGGGTGGGGGGGATGGGGGGGTCTGAGCTGAAGGATGGGGAAGGGGGAAGGATGGGGGAGATGGGGAGTCTGAGCTGAAGGATGGGGAAGGGGGGAAGGGTGGGGGAGATGGGGGGTCTGAGCTGAAGGATGGGGAAGGGGGAAGGATGGGGGAGATGGGGGTCTGAGCTGAAGGATGGGGAAGGGGGGAAGGATGGGGGAGATGGGGGTCTGAGCTGAAGGATGGGGAAGGGGGAAGGGTGGGGGAGATGGGGGGTCTGAGCTGAAGGATGGGGGAAGGGGGGAAGGATGGGGGGAGATGGGGGGTCTGAGCTGAAGGATGGGGAAGGGGGGAAGGATGGGGGAGATGGGGAGTCTGAGCTGAAGGATGGGGAAGGGGGGAAGGGTGGGGGAGATGGGGGGTCTGAGCTGAAGGATGGGGAAGGGGGGAAGGATGGGGGAGATGGGGGGTCTGAGCTGAAGGATGGGGAAGGGGGGAAGGATGGGGGAGATGGGGGGTCTGAGCTGAAGGATGGGGGGGTTCTGAAGAATCCCTGCGCTGTCAGGTTTTGGCCTGGGCTGGATGCTCAGAACAGCCCATGCCCACCCCTCTGCGTTCTTTGTCCTGTGGCAGAGATGCCCTGGCTGGGCTCAATTTCCCCCGCGCCTCACCCCCCGTGCCTGACACCCAGATAGGCCTGGTGCCCTGACGGAGCCCAATCTCCGTTCCTCCCCCACCACCAAGCCTGGTGCTCTGATGGGGCCTGATCCACCTGCAGACTAGGATGAAGCCTGGTGGGGGTGGGGGTGAGGGGGGGCACTCGGCTGCAGGGCTGACCTAGCAGGATCTCAGCACTGGGCGCTGTCCGGTCTGGGGCCCCCGGTGGGAAGTGGAGTCAGCTCCCCCAGAGTCCTGCGCCCCTGCCCCTCTCAGCGGGGGCGACGCGTCCTGGGGGCCCGCCCTGAAGGGAGATCATGCCTGGGGCCGGGGGAGCAGCCCTGACACACCTTTTTGAACAGGGATCCTGGCCGGTGGTGTGGGGCTGGGGGTGGGGTGGGGGATATGCTGCAGCTCTGGCCCATCCCAGTCCCCTCTAGGGAGGAATCGGCCTCAGGACAAGCCCTGCCATGGGGCAGCATGGAGGTCCAACAGTCTACATGGCCAGGCTGGCTGTACTGGCTGGTTCCTCCACCCCCAATCTCCCCCCCCCCTCCCCTGTGCCCAGCTGGGGCTGGGAAAGCCAAGGTCTTTACCAGCAAATCCCCCACATCCATGGGGGAGGCGAGCCCTGTCTCTTGCCTGTTTCTCCCCCGCACATACAGTGCGAGGGCTCAGGCCACTGTGTCGGGAACTCCCCTCCCCCCAACACCTGTAGCTGGCCGGGGGCCGGTTTGCTATCAGAGGGTCCCGTGGGAGCAGCTGGTAGGATGTGGGGTCCCTTCCTGCAGCAGTTGCGGGGGCTGGGTTGTTATTGGAAGGGTGCTCAGGCTGGCTTGTTATTGTAGGGTCTCCTGGGGGCTGTGCCCCGTGTTTATTGCAATGCAGCCGCATAGAAGGGAATGGTAAAGCCCGGCTGTGCTGTGATTGCCAACGGCAGCTGGGGGGGTGCTCTGCTGTGCAGGGGGGCGATCATGGGGTCACACTGAGCCTGCTCCCCGCTCAGCCATGCTGAAGTCAAGTCATACTGGGAGGCCAGTGGGAGAGACTCCTCCCCTGGGGACACTGGCAAAGGGGTTGTCCCTGTGGTGGGAAGTTCCCCATCAGGTGCCCCCCACCCCCTTGCCCTGCCACCGGGGCCCCGCTGGTACCAGCCCTTGTCAGTGAGCAGCACTGACCCATGGCCTGAAGCGGAGGCAGATACCAGCTCCGGCGCCCATCTTGCTCCCTGCATCATGACACCCCCTCGTGTTGCCCTGGAGCCAGCCCTGATTCTGAGGGGAGAGCGCCCCAGCCTGAGCCCACCCCCCTTCCTGCAGCGCCCGGGTGGTCTCGGAGGGTCTCCCAGCCAAGCACTGACTCCCCGTTCCCTGAAGGGCGGAGGCAGGACCCCACCACGCAGGGATCCGGCTGCAGGACACGCCAGATTTGGCCGTTTACATCACTATCCGGCGCTCGGCGACGGCAGGGAAACCTGGGGCCCCAGTTCCCCTCAGAGCCAAGAGTTACCTGGCATCGAACAGCCCAGCTGGGGGGGAGCGAGCTCGGCTGGGGGGATCTGGGGTGCAGGAATGGAGAAGAGATCTGGGGTGCAGCTGGCATTGCCGGGGGCCCGTAGGGGGATCGGGGCCCTGCAGTCAGCGTTGGGCGCCGTGGGGCAAATGTGGCATTGTCGTGGTGGTGGGAGGGCGTAAGCATTGGTATGGGACAGGGCTGGGCCCTTCACAGGAAGGCAGGGAGCTCAAAAGCGGGGTGGGGGGACCCTGGCAGGGTCCCCCAGAGCAGGCTGCGAGCCTGGAGCCGAGTCAGTCTCCGGGCCTGGTCCCATCAGAGGATGCGCAAGCCTCCGTGGGTCTCTCTGCAGCTTGGAGGCCTCTGCCCAGACGCAATGCCAGGCTCTGCTCGAGGCCCTGGCAGCTCCAGATCAGATGTGATGCCAGTCGCTGGGGCTCTGGGAGTAAACAGCAACAGATCCCCCAGCCCCCCCACCTCGCAGGGCAGCGCCCACGACACGCGAAGCTCCCGGGTGCTAGAGACTCCAGGGCTCGGTTGAGGCTTATGGACCACGGGGAGGGGCCTGTGCACCATGGCTGCTGGGCACCGGCTTGTTTGGATCCAGACAGACTGTCGGCAGCCCCCGTTGGGACGCAGCTCCTCCCCCAGATGCTTGTCACTCCCTGCAGGCGGGGAGCAAAACCCACCGCCCCCTCCATCCTCTGCACAGATTGAGCAGGGCCCAGAGAGCCACACCCCTCTCAGTTCCTTATGCCAGCTGCCTCCCCAAGTGCCCCCTCGCCTTCCTCCAGGGATGCCTCTTGCCTGGCAGAGCAGGCTCTTAGAGGTTTGTTAGCACACGGGCCTGTGGGACTCACTGCCACAGGATATTACGGAGGCTGAGAACAGGCATGAAGAAGAGAAACTGGCTGGGTGATCCTGAGGCCAGTGTGGATGTGCTCAGCTTGACAGGCAGGAGACCCAACGCAACAGGGTCATGAACCCCCCTGCCCCAGGGCACCGGCCGAACCCTGAGTCCCCTGGCAGTAAGGAGAAAAAGTCCTTCAGGGCAGGTTATTCATCGGCAGCCACTGGGGGATGGGGAGAGTCATGGATGTCCCTTTGCAGAGACTGGGCTGGAGCCCTGTGCAGGGAGGAATGTGTGCCCCTTCACTGAAACCGGAGTAGGGGGGTTCTTAGCATTCACACCCCTCCCATCCACAGCCTCCATCCTAGGGCTGGTCAGGAATGTGGAGAGGAAGCAGGGAGCCAGCCGGCCTGCGAGTCTGGAAATTCTGGCTTTTCCCTGAGCGGGCTGCCCCGCCAGGGCCTCGGGCTGCCGCTGACTGAAACTGCCAGGATTCGTGTCTGTTTCAGGGTTGTCCAGCACTGAACAGCAGATGTGAAACTGCTATTTCAGTCAGTGGGTGCCAGGCCCCGGGAGCGAATGTGGGGAGCACCCTGGGGGGGGGGGGGTTTCCTAGAAGGAAAATTGAGTGGGGTTTCCATCTGAATTGGAACCAAACCCAATGTTAAAATATCCCCCGACCCAGAAACCCTGAGATCCGGCCAGCCCGGACCCCCACCTGCCGCGAGTCCGGCCCAGGAATTCACCTGCTTCCCTGCCCTGGCTGTGAGGGTCTGAACATAGTGAGGGATCCAACGTAATCTGGGAGCAGCCGTTTTGGTAAGATGGGCCGCAAGGTGCCCCCCACAGGCTACGACTGCGACCCCTTGTGACCCCCCTCCCCTCCATGCACTTTAAACACTGCCTGCCCTTCTGGGGGTTGGGGCCCGAGCAGTGGGGAGATCAGTGGGGCAGGTGGGGAGGCAGGGGATGGGCTGACAGACTCAGCTGTGAGCCGGACCTGCCACGGACAGACCCCCACGTCCTCTGCACAAAGGGGGCTGTGCTGGGAGCCCCCGGCGCCTGTGGGGCGGCGGGATGTGGGGTGGGGACTGCGAGCAGGGGCGTGGAGCGTGGCAGGTGGTTCGGAGGTGACACAGACCGGAGCTGCCGGGGCTTGGTGAGACCAGCAGGGGCCCAACTCCCAACCCGGGGCCTCCTGGCTCCAGCTCTTGGCAGACGCGCTGGAGAGGGGCCCCGGGCGAGGGAGAGCCGTGAATCACCCGGGGGGGGTGTGTGTGGGGTGGAGATCACACAAGGAAGAGGGAGGAGGGAGCCGGGGGGGGGGGGAGGAGGTGGAGGCAGGGAGGATGGGCCCCCCTGAGCTGGGGAGAGCCCTGAACCTTGGAGGGTAGTGGGGGGGGGGCGGGCGCTGAGCTAGCAGGGAGGGGACACGGGGGGGGGGCGCAGAGCTGGCGGGGGGGGGACGCGCTGACGCCAGGTGGGCCGATCAGCTGTCGCGAATGGGGGGGGGGGGCTGGATAGCCCCGGGGGGGGGCGGGGCAGCCCCTGCAGCGTCGTAACCCGCAACCCCCCTTGTCGTCCCCCCCCCGGTCTTTGTAGTTCCTGGTTCGCGGCTCCGCTGAACTCGCTCCGGGCGCTTCCTGCTTCCCTCTCCCATGGGCTCCCCAGGTAGGTGCCGCCCGGCCCGGCCCCCACTGCCCGGTACGCCCCCCCCCGGAATGGCCTGCACCCCCCCGGTACGGCCCCCTGCTTCCTCCCATAGGGGGCAGCCCCCCTCCAGGTGCAGGAGGCCCCCCCGCCCCGCTACAGCCCCCCCCCTCCGATAGGGCCCATCTCCCCCTTTACCAGCCCCCCCCCCCGCGCGGTACAGCCCCCCCCTTCCTCCTAGCACCCCCCCCGGGGTAGTTCTCCCCCGAGCCTCTGGGGTTTGCTGCATCCATTGCGGAAGGGGGGGATCTCAGTGAGCCCCCCCCCCCCGCCTTCTCCCACCTCCAGGTGTGGGGCTCTTCTGCGGGAGGGGGGAGGCTGTTCTCTCTGCTGTGGGTCTGCTCATGCTGGCCCCGGCGGGGGTGGGTCTGGGTTACACCTGCTGGGTCCTGGGGGGTGGGGGCATGTCTGGGAGCCAGGACGCCTGGGTTCTTCTCTCCCTAGCCGGGGGCGGGAATGGGGATCCGGTGGGTTAGAGCAGGGGGTGCTGGGAGCCAGCACTTGGGGCCAGGGCCTATTCTGTGGAGCTCCCCAACCCCCTAGCTCAGCCCCACTTTGGGGCTCCCCCAGCCCAGCTCTCCTGGTCCCCTCCCCCCACATCTGGTCAGGCCCCAGAGGGGCTCCCCCAGACAACAAAGGCCACAATTCAGTCCCCCCCCCCCACTCCTGAGACACCCCAACCCAGGGACCGACTGGGGCAAAAGCTCCTTGGGGCACCTCCCTCATGCACCCCAGGGTGAGGGGTGGTCTGAATCCTGCTGAGGTTGCTGGGTGAGGGGGGCAGCCATAATCTTGAGTGGCCCCCAGTGTGGGGGAAAGGGAGAGAGGCCTCCTCCCCTGACCCCGCTCCGGTGCCCCTCTTTGATCCAGGCCGGCAGGGGGCCCCACCTGGTGCATTTGCCTGCCCCATGGGGTATAGGGCCCCAGCCCCCTTGCTGGAGCCATAGCTCCGGGGCACAAGATTCAGTGGGGCAAATGAAGGGGTGTTATTCCTGGCACTTACTGGGGTGGGGGGAGTGGGGCATGGCCCAATTTGGGATAAGTGTGTGTGGGGGAGTCTCCCTAAATGTGCCAGGGGGCTCGGGAACCACCTGCTCCTCGTGTCCAAGGCTGAGGCTCAGTTTGTGGGGCTCGATCCCAAGGTCCCCCATCCCTTCAGGGGGGGTTGCACCTCTCTGGGCTCCCCGTATTCTGGGCCTGGCCCCTGGGGAGCAGAAACTACCCGAAGTGCAGTGTCCTCTGGCCACACCCCTGATCTGCCCCAAGTAGGGGGCCAGGGCCTGACCCCACTTCACCGGCTCGGGCCCCTGCAGGGGTGATTCTTGGGGGGGGGCCTGCACCCCTATTCTGGCCCATTCGCGCTGCTGGAGGGTGGAGGGGGGATGGATCTGTGTCTTAGGGTCCTGCTAGACTCCGCTCCCTCTCCCATGGGCAGCCCCAGCCTCCTTATCCCTCCCCCAGGACCCGGGATTTCCCATTCATTACTCTGCTGTTTCATAACCCAAGGTGGTGGGGAACGCAGCCTTCGGCCTTACGAAGTGGGTTTTTCGCAGCAATCGTGCCCCCCTGTTTAAAAAAACCCTTTGTTAACCCCTCCAAACAAGCATTTCTCCCCCATCCCCCCCCCCCGTGTTTTATTTTAATTGCAATGATATTTATTAAATGATTGTCTCGTTACTGTCATGTTTGTGATGGGTGACTGATCAGCTGTGGGGGGTGGGTGTGTGTGTTTTGTTTGAACTTGGGGGGGGGGTTCGCTGTGGGGCAGGCTGTGGGGTACAACCCGCCTGCCACCACTGAGATGGACAGGAGCTAACTCACCCCAACCCACACAGCGATAGGGGAATAGACCCCAGGAGATACACCCCGCCCACCCCCAGGAGCGTGGGACCCGAGGGTAGAGATTTAAAGGCCAGAGGGGACAACGATGGCTGGGCCGAGGGGATGGCCGGGCCCCGGAGGGGATCCGCCCCTCCCGATGCTTCCTGGAGCCGAAGGTTCAAATCCCGGCTGGGGCTGGGGCAGTTGGCTGGCTGTGGAAGGGGTGGGGGTGGGGCGGTGTCCATTGTCTGTCTGTCTGTCTGTCTCTAGCCCACCCGGGAGGCGATGCCGGCGGCTTTGATGACTGTTCTTTTCTCTTCAGTGTCATTTGTTTTATCCAGGATGGCGGCATGCGGGGGCGCCACTAAAAATAAGCTCACGGTCTCTAAGCCCGTCTGGGACTTCCTGACCAAAGAGGCCCCCTCCAAGCTGGTCAGGCTGAAGGAGGAGACCAAGCTGAGCATCCTGATCGATGGGGAGACCTCGGAGATCTACGTGCTGCAGCTCTCCACGCCGGCCCCCGGGGCCGGCAACGGCCTCTACCTGGCCCGCAGAGCCCTCAAGGCCTTGCTCAAGGAGACGGAGAAGGAGCTGAAGAAGGCTCAGCGGCAGAGCGAGCTGGTGGGGTGCATGGCCCTGCTGGACAAACCCGGGGGCGAGCTGCGCCCACACGGGGCCGGCGTGGTCTCCCGGGGTCAGCAGACCTCCGGGGCCAGGGCGGGGGGCCCAGGAGGGGGAGGGGGCCTGGGGGGGGCGGCGGGCTGCTCGCGGGAGGAGGAGCAGGAGAACCAGTGCCCCATCTGCCTGGGGGAGATCCAGAACGTAAAGACTCTGGAGAAGTGCAAGCACTCCTTCTGCGAGGACTGCATCACGCGGGCGCTGCAGGTCAAGCGGGCCTGCCCCATGTGCGGGCGCTTCTACGGGCAGCTGGTGGGCAACCAGCCCGAGAACGGGCGCATGCTGGTGTCCAAGGACTCGAGCCTGCTGCTCCCCGGCTACGAGAAATACGGCACCATCATCATCCAGTACGTCTTCCCGCCTGGCATCCAAGGGGTGAGTTCTCCCCCGGCCTCTGGCCCCAGCTCTGCAGCCCTCCCCAGCCTGCCTGGCTGCAGCGGGGGGAAGGGGGGGCTTGTTGGGGCAGTCAGCTGCAAGGGGCGGAGGTCTGGGTCAGCTTCCCTGCCTCCCTAGCTCTGCCGGTGCCCCTCAATTCCAACCCGCAGCCCCCTGCTAGCCCAGCCCTGGGTTCCCCACACCCCCAGCCCTGCCGGTGCCCCTCAATCCCAACCCGCAGCCCCCTGCTAGGCTAGCCCTGGGCTCCCCACACTCCAGCCCTGCCGGTGCCCTAAATCCCAGCCCCCTGCTCTCCCAGCCCCATGTGCAGTGTCCCCACCAGGCTGCGTTGGCCCTTGGATGCCCCCCCTTTCCTGTCCGCCCCCCATCTGCTAATTTTCCCTCCGCTCTGGGGTCACCTGGTAAATCTGGATAAATCTAACTCCTCCCACATCCATCCGATCCCTGCCTTTGCCCCTGGGGCACGGCAGAGCCTTGGGCACAGCCCTGGCAGGGGGTGGCACTGGGGCACACCAGCCCTACCTTGTCCTGTCCCCTCTGGACTGGCGTCGCCCTGTGGCTCAGGGAGGCTGAGCACTGTGTAGGCCGAAAGCAGGTTGGCATTCGGGGGGCAGTGAGCAGAGGACATTCCCCCTCCCTCTCCCCAAGAGTGATACCCCCTGCGTCAGTTGCAGGGTCACCCGCCCCCGGGGTTCTGCAGGGCAGGAGGAGACCAAGCCCCCAGCTGGAGCGACCCAGGGGGCTGCCTGATGCCCGCAGTGAGCACTGGAGGAGACTCCGGCCCATGGGCAGCGTCACCCCTTGCCTGGCAGCAGAGTCTGTGCCAGGCTTCACAGCATCCCTGGCGTCTGATTGTCTCCGTCTCCCCCCCCCCCCATTGCAGGTGGAGCATCCCAACCCCGGCGTGCGGTACCCGGGCACCACGCGGGTGGCCTACCTGCCCGACTGCCCAGAGGGGAACAAGGTGCTGGCCCTGTTCCGCAAGGCCTTCGACCAGCGCCTGACCTTCACCATCGGCACCTCCATGACCACGGGCAGAGCCAACGTCATCACGTGGAACGACATCCACCACAAAACCAACTGCACCGGGGGACCCCAGCTGTAGGCAGCCGCCGCCCGCAGGGCTAAGGGGCTGGGGGCCAGTGGCAGGGGTGCTGATGACCCATCCGTGCTCCTGAGGGGGGCCCGACGGGCACTGGAAACCTGGGGGGGCTCAGTAGGGGGCGCTCTCCCCTGGCAGTCAGTGCTGGCCCTGGTTCGAGGGGGCACTGTGCTGCAGGGGGTGAGATAGGGGGCTCAGCAGGGGGCGCTCTGCCCTGGCTCTCAGCGCTGACCCCAATCCCCGGCACCGGGGGGCTCAGCGGGGGGCGCTCTGCCCTGGCTCTCAGCGCTGACCCCAATCCCCAGCGCCGGGGGCTCAGCGGGGGCGCTCTGCCCTGGCTCTCAGCGCTGACCCCAATCCCCAGCGCCCGGGGGGCTCAGCGGGGGGCGCTCTGCCCTGGCTCTCAGCGCTGACCCCAATCCCCAGCGCCGGGGGGCTCAGCGGGGGGCGCTCTGCCCTGGCTCTCAGCGCTGACCCCAATCCCCAGCGCCGGGGGCTCAGCGGGGGGCGCTCTGCCCTGGCTCTCAGCGCTGACCCCAATCCCCAGCGCCGGGGGGCTCAGCGGGGGCGCTCTGCCCTGGCTCAGTCCCCAATCCCCAGCGCCGGGGGCTCAGCGGGGGCGCTCTGCCCTGGCTCTCTGCGCTGACCCCAATCCCCAGCGCCGGGGTCTCAGTGGGGGGCGCTCTGCCCTGGCTCTCAGCGCTGACCCCAATCCCCAGCGCCGGGGGGCTCTCTCCCCTGGCAGTCAGTGCTGGCCCCGGTTCGAGGGGGCACTGTGCTGCAGGGGGTGAGATAGGGGGCGCTCTGCCCTGGCTCTCAGCGCTGACCCCAATCCCCAGCGCCGGGGGGCTCAGCGGGGGGCGCTCCGCCCTGGCTCTCAGCGCTGACCCCAATGCCCCAGCGCCGGGGGGCTCAGCGGGGGGCGCTCTGCCCTGGCTCTCAGCGCTGACCCCAATGCCCAGCGCCGGGGGGCTCAGCGGGGGGCGCTCTGCCCTGGCTCTCAGCGCTGACCCCAATGCCCCAGCGCCAGGGGGCTCAGCGGGGGGCGCTCTGCCCTGGCTCTCAGCGCTGACCCCAATCCCCAGTGCCGGGGGGCGCTGTGCTGCGTGTCAAGACGCTTGTGACCCTGGCAGCTCCCGGGGCCCTTTCTTCAGGAATTGGGACACACCCCTCCCCGTGCCCTGGCCAAAGGCCCCCCTGCGGGTGCCGGGGTCCCCCGTGAATGGCAGTGCACAGCTGAGGTGGCCAAGCTGGGGGGGGGGCTGCTGTGGCTGGGGGGGGACAGGTGAGGCTGGGGAGCTGTCCAGGCGGGGTTGGGGCTGTGCATGGCTGATGTCTCCCCTGTGTGTCTCCTAGATTCGGGTATCCTGACCCCACGTACCTCGCCCGGGTGCAGGAGGAGTTACGAGCCAAAGGCCTCACTGAGGATTAACCCTTTCTCTGCTGCGGCTCCTGCTGTGGGGCCAGGGGGCGACCCGGGGGGGGGGCAGGACGGCCCCACAGCGTCTCCCGTCCAGCTGGGCCCGGGGCAGCCACGCGTCCGTCAAGGCAAGGTGCTTCGCCGGCTCCGCCCTGGATTGCGGCTGTCAGCGCCAGAGCCCATCCCCGCTGCCAGTGCTCCTTGGAGGGGCGGGCGGGGGGGGAGTGAGTGTGTGACCAGGGCGTGTCTGGAGAGGGTAGGGAGATCAAGCGTATGTGTGTGTGAGAGTGAGAGATCAGGGGTTGTGTGTGCAGGGGGTGAGGGGGGTGTGGCTGTACTGGGTGTGTGGGATCGGGGGTTGTGTGTGCAGGGGGTGAGGGGTGTGTGGGATCAGGGGTTGTGTGTGCAGGGGGTGAGGGGGTGTGGCTGTACTGGGTGTGTGGGATCGGGGGTTGTGTGTGCAGGGGGTGAGGGGGGTGTAGGATCAGGGGTTGTGTGTGCAGGGGGTGAGGGGGGTGATGCTGTACCGGGTGTGTGGGATCGGGGGTTGTGTGTGCAGGGAGTGAGGGGGGTGTGGGATCAGGGGTTGTGTGTGCAGGGGGTGAGGGGGCGTGGCTGTACTGGGTGTGTGGGATCGGGGGTTGTGTGTGCAGGGGGTGAGGGGGTGTGGGATCAGGGGTTGTGTGTGCAGGGGGTGAGGGGGGCGTGGCTGTACTGGGTGTGTGGGATCGGGGTTGTGTGTGCAGGGGGTGAGGGGGTGTGGCTGTACTGGGTGTGTGGGATTGGGGGGTTGTGTGTGCAGGGGGTGAGGGGGGTGTGAGATCAGGGGTTGTGTGTGCAGGGGGTGAGGGGTGTGTGGCTGTACCGGGTGTGTGGGATCAGGGGTTGTGTGTGCAGGGGGTGAGGGGTGTGCGGCTGTACCAGGTGCGGGGGATCGGGGGTTGTGTGTGCAGGGGGTGAGGGGTGTGTGGCTGTACTGGGTGTGTGGGATTGGGGGTTGTGTGTGCAGGGGGTGAGGGTGTGTGGGATCAGGGGTTGTGTGTGCAGGGGGTGAGGGGGGCGTGGCTGTACTGGGTGTGTGGGATCGGGGGTTGTGTGTGCAGGGGGTGAGGGGGGTGTGGGATCAGGGGTTGTGTGTGCAGGGGGTGAGGGGTGTGTGGCTGTACTGGGTGTGTGGGATCGGGGGTTGTGTGTGCAGGGGTGGGGGGGTGTAGGATCAGGGGTTGTGTGTGCAGGGGTGAGGGGTGTGTGGCTGTACCGGGTGTGTGGGATCAGGGGTTGTGTGTGCAGGGGGTGAGGGGGGTGTGGGATCAGGGGTTGTGTGTGCAGGGGGTGAGGGGGGTGTGGCTGTACCGGGTGCGGGGGATCGGGGGTTGTGTGTGCAGGGGGTGAGGGGGGTGTGGCTGTACTGGGTGTGTGGGATCGGGGGTTGTGTGTGCAGGGGGTGAGGGGGGTGTGGCTGTACCGGGTGTGTGGGATTGGGGGTTGGGGGTGAGGGGGGTGTGGCTGTACCGGGTGCAGGGGATCGGGGGTTGTGTGTGCAGGGGGTGAGGGGGTGTGGCTGTACTGGGTGTGTGGGGATCGGGGGTTGTGTGTGCAGGGGGTGAGGGGGTGTGGCTGTACTGGGGTGTGGGATTGGGGGTGGGGGGAGGGGGTGTGGTGTACCGGGTGCGGGGATCGGGGGGTGGTGCAGGGGGTGAGGGGGTGTGACTGTACCGGGTGCGGGGGATCGGGGGTTGTGTGTGCAGCAGGGTGTGTGGGATGTGGCCGTTCCGAGCTGGTGGGGTCGGGGTGGGGAGCGTGTGCCCTGTGGGGGGGAGATCAGGGTGTGCAGTTGCGGTGGCTGTACGAGAAGTGTGTATGTGTAAGAGGGGGCCTGGCTCGCACACGACACCTCCCTGCACCACACCCGGCCCTGGGCCCAGCTGCCCTCCTCTCCGGTTCCTGCTGGGCCCCGGAGCCGCAGTCGGCTGAGCTCTTCGCTGAGCACTGCTTTCCGGACCTACGTGACGTCGCGGCCCTGCCAGGACGCCTGCCGTGTGCCCCCCGGCGATGCCGCCCTCTGCGGACACCTGCCTCAGCACAGCCAGGGCTGCGGGCCGTGGGCACCCCCTGCCCGGCCGTGGACAAAGGCTCCCGCTGGGACCCGCCTCTCCTGTATATACCCCTCCAATCCCGCTCCGGACTCTCCGCCGGGGCCTGGTCCTGGACGCGGCTACGCCGGAGTCCAGCAGCGCCGTCGTCTGGATCTGAACTCTGCTGACCGGCTTCCCCCGGCCATCGCCGCCAGCTCCACCTGCCCGGGCACCGCGGGACCCGTCTGTTTCTTTTGCCTATTCTCAGCATGTGGCTGCGGCCGTCCAGCGTGTACCGTGTGTGGTGGAGACGATGCGTCCCGTTCTGTGAGCAGACTCCGCTCTCTGTCCTGTGTTAACCTCCCCCCACTGCGCCCCGGCTGAGCTGCTGCCCTGGGGAGGATGGGTCCCAGGCCTCTCCAGAGGGGGGAGGGGGGGTTGCTGGTTAAAAAAGAGGAGAAACCGAGTCGCTCGGCCCCTGACCCGTCTGTCCTGGATTCTGTAGCTTTGGTTGAATAAAAGTATGCAACATGTCTGCAGCCCCCTTTCTGAGCCCCGTGGCGGGGGCCACGGGGGGAGGGCCCCTGCTGGAAGCAGAGCTGCCATTATTAGGGATAAGGTTGCCCGAGGCTGGCTCTCTGGGAGTCGCAGGGCTGCTATTATCTCTGTGTATTACAGTAGCACTTAGCCCCAGTCATGGCCCCGCACCCGTTGTGCTAGGTGCTGTGTGTTATTTATTAGGTGTATTACGGTAGCGCTGGGAGCCCCCGGCCTGGCCCCACACCCGTTGCATTAGGCGCTGTACATGATTTATTAGGTGTATTACGGTAGCGCTGGGAGGCCCCGGCATGGCCCCACATCCCTTGCGCTAGGCGCTGTACAAACAGGCCCCACAAGCCTCCAATCTCAGTAGCAGACAAGAGACCCTAGATGGGCATGAAATGCAGCCAGCGCCAGGCTGTGTGATGGGCTCTAGGCAGCAGCACCCTCACGGCTGCCCCCCTGCGCTCCGAGGGCCCGTTCTCACTCCCGCATGTCCTGGGGCAGGATTTCCTCATTGTCCTGGGCCTGTCTGGGACCCTGGGCCCCAACTGCTGCCCCCGTGGGGCCCTCTGCGCCTTCTTGTCAGGACTGTGCCCCGTGCTGACACCGGCCCGCCATAGAGAGGATTTGGAAGCCGGGGACTGTCAGAAAGGCCGGACGGGCTGAAATATCCATTCCCATGTTGATTGGTATTGAGGGGCCTCCCTCTGTTAACCACAGGAGCTGCCCAGACACGCCGCCAAGCACTCACGGGTTGAAGAGACACGCGCTGGGAGGGGAAACTGAGGCTGACGTGGGCTGGGGCTGTGCCATTGTGGTGTAGACGCGTCACCATAGGCAATCAGCTCCCCGAGCCGCGGGAGCAAGGCTGGCAAGAACCGACGCTGGGCACGAGACCCTGAGTTCTCTGACTAGGCCGAGCTGCTGGCCCCGTTCCTTGAATTCGGTCCTCAAAACGCAGACAAACCAGCTCGGGCTGAGCTATTCCCCTGGGGGGCTCTGGCCTGGGTAAGGCTGGGACGTCCGGCTCATGGCTCTAAAGGGGCCATGTGGGGCAGGGGGGTGACTGTGTCAAGAAGAAAAAGTGAAGCCACCCCTGGGGTTGCACCACGTTATGCCGGGAGAAAAGGAAGGAGCAGGAGGGGATGCAACTAGGACACAGCGGGGGTGGAACCCAGGAGTCCTGGCTCTGAGCCCCCAACCGCTGGACCCCCTCCCCCACTCCAAGCCTCTCCCCCGCTCCAACCCATTGGACCCCTCTCCCCTTCCAGAGTTGGGAACAGAACCCAGGAGTCCGGGCAGTGGGCTGGGCACCTCCCCCCACCTCTCAGGATGGCCAGATGTGGTTAGGGAGCATCCCTCTCCTCCCCCACGGTGCCCGCAATGAATCCCCCATCCCAGCTGCAGGCTGGACTCCAGAGCCAGCGGGCCGGGGAGGAGGGGGGGCCCCATCGGTCTCCAATGATGGGGAAATGGCCAAGTATGGGAAGGTGGCGGAGGAGTCCCTGGGAGGGGAAGGGGCTAAATATAGGCTGCTCCTGCTGCAGCCCCGGGGGGCTTGGAGCGTCTCCTCCCCGCCTTGCCTCAAGGACGGGCTCTGCTCCAGCACGGGCCAGGCCCCTGGGAACCGCGGCGCAAATGTCTTCGGCTGCCCTGAGTGGTTAGAACAGGGGTCTGGGAGCCGGGACACCTGCGTTCTGTCCTCACCTAGCTGCCTTTGGCATGTCACACCCCAGCTCCATGCCTCAGTTTCCCCACTGGTACATTCCTCACGATGGTGCTGGGGCTTCGTTGATGCCAGGCTCAGGGGGTCCAATGTGGGGTCCCCTGCCCCAAGCCTTGTGGTGTCGGTTGCACTGGTGTGAGCCCAGAGAACCCCAGTGGGTGGGCCAAGCTAGACCAGGCCAGCTGATCCCTTCCTTGCTGGGCACAACTGGGCCCCTTTGTGCCCACAGACCAGTGCCTGAGGGCACCCCAGCCCCACGGCACAGACCCAGGTGCTCAGTTCCAACCCCTGCTCTTGGCCAGCTGGTCCCAGCCAGGCAAGGGGGCAGATCCCCACCCCACTCTTGGGGTGTCTGTGTGCTGATCTGTGCCCCATGCCCTGACACAGGGGGACGGGGGCACTGGCTGCTACCCCTCCCCTCCGAATCCATCTGTAAGTTCTGGGATCTCAACCCCCCCCAATTCCTGCCCCAGGGAGTGGGAATGGATGCAGCCAGGAGCCCCGTTCACCTCGCTCCCAGGCCCAGGGAAGGGGCAGGGCGACCCCCGTTGCCTGGCCAGCTCGTGGAGCTCCATGGTGGGGTGCTGGCAGGGGGCCACGGGTTGGGGGTTCAGCTCCGGCCCAGCCCGGCTTGGGGGCTCAAGAGCGGGGGACCTGGCACCGTGGCTCCTGCTCGCTGCGGGCCCCTGGCCTCACTGTCTGTGCCCCCCCCACTCACGCCCCACTGCTCATTTGTCCCCTGCCGCGCCCACCGGCCTGGTCCGCGCCAAGCCCTGGGAACATGGAGTCCTTTCCTCACACGTGGGCCCAACTGGTCCCCCTGGCCCTGCGGCCAGGCGCCTCTCCACTCAGCCCCTTCTTCTCAGCCCCGGCCAGGGCAGAAGCTGGGAGACCCACGCAACGGCGAGGTGCAGGGCCTGGACCGGTGCCGCCCCCGAGGATCCACGCCTCAGCGTCAGACGCCAGGAGGCAAAAACCTCAGGAA